GGTCTGGGGGACACCCGGGGTCCCCCCACAGCTGATTGCTGAGCCAGGGGAGTGCGGGGGGAACCCCCATGCACTCTCCAATAGACCCAGAAGTGGACTAGAAGTACTTCTGATCCACTTCTGTTTTAGCTGCCGAGCATGTGGAGGACCTCCCCGCACTTCTGTGGGATGCTCCATCTGCTCCACGAGCTGTGCCTGGTACCTCTAGGTATGTAGAAAAAACATTTAAAGCTGTGTCTATGTCCGAATTGCTGATTCTCCAAATCAGTATCGAATCTTCAGATTTGGATTTGGCTGAATCGAATTGGGGACAGTGATCCGAATCAACAAATTGAATCACTGTCCCCGATTCGGGCCGAATCCAAATCCGAATCGAATGCAGCCCATTTTGCACACCCCTATTAGGAACCCAGTTCTGACGGACAAGTCTGTAGGACTTAAGCTCCTGATTCATAAACAGGTTCCCCGGCCCTTGAAGGTCTAGATGATATTGCCACTTCTTTGTTCTGGGGTAATCCTGGTGCTGCTGTACATACCCTTAGCACCTTGTTTTGCAAGCAGCACCATTTATGCCACGTGGCTATTAGTAGTGCAGTGGCTTGGTCTAAACTCCAGTGAAATAAATAAAAGGTCTTCTAACTTCTTCCTTTGGAGGAGGTCCTTAGGTGTGACCAGTTGTGAGTAAGGGTGGTAGGATGTGCCCCTGGAGTATACAGACCTTAATTCTGTTTAAGTAATTGCCTCTGGTTTTCTCCCTCTTTTTGCAGGTGAGTGTTTTGACCACCTTGGAGCGACGATTCAACCTTCAAAGTGCCGATGTGGGCGTGATCGCCAGCAGCTTTGAGATTGGGAACCTGGCCCTCATTCTCTTTGTGAGCTACTTTGGAGCCCGGGGACACAGGCCACGGTTGATAGGGTGCGGAGGGATCGTCATGGCCCTGGGTGCCCTCCTGTCTGCACTGCCTGAGTTTCTGACCCACCAGTACGAATATGAATCAGGGGAAATACGGTGGGGGGCTGAAGGGAGGGATGTGTGTGCTGCCAACGGGTCCACCAGCAACGAGGGACCAGACCCGGATCTTATCTGCAGGAATAGGACTGCCACCAACATGATGTACTTGCTTCTCATTGGAGCACAGGTCCTCCTAGGCATTGGTGCTACTCCTGTACAGCCTCTAGGAGTTTCCTACATCGATGACCATGTGAGACGGAAAGATTCCTCCCTATACATAGGTAAGACTTTTTGAATTTTCCTACTGAATGCAATCAAGGTGCCTCTGCTTACTGCAGCTCTCCCTGCTTGGTTTATATGATGCCAATAGAAAATGTGAGACTTCTCAGTACTCTCGTGTCTGAAGGGAACTTGACTTTGGTCTACAGAGAAACATTGTAACGAATAATGCCCTTCTACGGATACCATGGCGGGGAAATGCAGAGTTCTTTGTAGTAGCGATCAATGGGAAATATTGGTGATTTGTCATGGGATTGATGCCATAATGAGGGAGTAGATAATTAGGAAGATGAATCCTTAAAGCCCCCATCCCCTAAGTTCTGATGGGATTGGTCACTGGTGGTTGAGATTTACTTGTAGACATCTGAGTGGCTTATCAGATATTAAAATGTCTATACTTTTTATCAGATATTAATATATATATATATA